AGTTCTGCTTTCTTGGGAGAACTGATTGAGGCGGGTCCTTACTATTCCCCTCAATAATTATAAATGGGTCAAATTTTCAGTACACTAAACAACTCCCCCCCCCCAAATGTCATCTACCCATGACATTTATTTCCTGGCTTTCTCCTACAGAAATTGAAGGTGACCAGGACCCAGAGTTGCTGTGCTTCATGAAGGTTGCCGTATCTTGTGCCTTTACACATAGATTTGATGGACTAGACAGGTCATGCTGTCTTCAATTAGCTTGCACAGAAAAGCTTCATTCTATGGGGCTCTTTCACATAGAAAAAAACGGGAGGGATAATAAGAGAACTATATCAAATTGTGCATGGTCTAGATATTTTCTTTCCCCCTTCCTTTTTCGTGCTACAGAAAGCACAAATCACTCAATGAAGCTGAACAGTGAAAGATTCAGAATCAACAAAAGCAATAACTGATTCACAGAGCACAGAGTTGATTGCAGAATTCCGCTTCCACAGCTTAGGGATGGCAACCATCCTGGCTGGCTTTAAAGCTTCGATTACACACACCTATGCAGAATAAGGCTACCAGCGGCAGTCAGAAAAGGCTACCTAGCATCCAAGGCATTATGTTCTTCAACAATTAACGACCCCTTGGACCCTTACTTTCGACGAGGGGAAGATCGAAGGAAAGTAGTATGCTACTTGACAAAACGACGCAAGTTAACAAGGAACTTAGCTAGATCGTGTTTTCGAGAAGATAAAAATACGGGAAAAGGAACTTGGAACGACGGAAGTTTTCGGAGACCAAAGGGGTGGTGGTGGTGGTGGTGGTGGTGGTAGACGAACTCTTCTTTTACAAGAAAGATATACAAAGAAAATATCGCTGGTACCATTCAAGCTATGACCTGCTTTAAGAGAGAGATGGCAATTACTGCTTTTGATCAACCCCTTGACCTTCTGGAGCAACCAGCTTAGTTCAGCATGGCTACCTTCTCGCTCGCTCTCCCTCGGTCTCCCCCCCCCCACCATGCAACTTGTTTGCAAGGCACTTCCTATTGTTCCCTGCCAGGCACAACTCTCTTCTCTTACAAGGGCCCGCCCCCAGCAACGGTTGTCATGGTGATCACACTCCAGTGTTGGTTGGAAGAGAAGGCTGTTGGATGCCAGTTCGGTTCTCTCAGCTGCTACCAAAGTAGCAGCTTTTAATGAATATTGGCGAGGCGGCTGGCAGCCCCCATTAGCTTTTTGCTGGCTCTTGTCAGGCCCTGCTCTATGCCAAATTAAAGTGTGACATGGAAAATTGGTAAATATGCACAGAAAAGTAAATATTGCCTCAAAGCATGAATTTATATACATGAAGATTAAGTTTCTCTGGGAATCCCCTTCTTCAGATAATTAATTATCGGGTTTCTTGGGAAAAAATCAAGGACAAACCTAAAAGGAGTTCCTAAGGATAAAATTAATTGTTTAAGTTCATAACTTTGCTTTACAAAGGAAATTTTAGGAGCAAAATCAAGAAAAAAAATCTGAACAAAAATGCAAATTCTAATAAAACTGTCTAAAATTCAAACACCAGATGTAAATTTATTTTAGAAAGACAATTCAATTTCCATGTTTTTCACATGAAAATGAAATACTGCGCGTTAAGTGGGTACCATTTGTACAGTAAAACTTAAATGAGCAAACTAAAGGACAAAAGTAAGTTTTTGAAAAATAAATCTAAAAGACACCTTTAAAGGGCTCTCCTTTATAACGAAGCACGTATGGTCACCGTAACTGTTAATCAAAGTTCTTGTAATCTTGTGGAAAACGAAAGAACTCTTACGAATTCCAGAGGGGTTTAGCAGAGAGGTTTATTTGCGCAGGTTCAGAGGCATATAGAGATAGGCAATTCTGAACGAGGAGGGCGGGATTAGACTTCAGTTTTTATACTACCCTTCTTTCAGGAACAAAGGGACTACACATGGTAATACACTGTAATATATTTGGATCGTTTCTCACGGGCATACAGTGGAAGGTTTTGCTACATACAAAGTATCCATGTGCAATGCTCATTTGGTTAGCCACATATTACTGACACAGAACTTTCCCAGTGAATTTTCCCAGTGATTATGCATTACATCATTATTCTAGCAATTATGCAGACAAATCATTATTCTAGTTATGCAGACAAATCATTATTCTAATAATTGTTCATTTTACTACATTAGTAAGAGAGGAATGAAAAGAAGCCACAAGGGGAGCAGTTTTCACTCACATTCCCCAGCAATTATATTGTCATTTCTGACAGCCGCTGATAACCTTATCCTGTACAGATGTGTATAATGAAAACTTTAAAGCCAGACATGTTGATTTCCATCATTTAGCTACTGAAGTGGATTATGTAATCCATGGATTATAACCATGGTTTAGACATCTGAGAGAACAAAGCTTGAAAAGATTTCTTTTGCTGATGGTATGGAGAAATAGTGTAGGCAACTTAGGCCAATGGAAATCACTCCCATATCTTCTACTGAATTAATTTCCAAGGCCATAACACCCAGCATAGCCATAGGGCCAATCATGTGAATTGGCCAAGCGCTGCATATAATTACTGTTTCTGTGGGGGTGGATCCCTATAAGACCTTTTTTAACAGTATGAACCTGAATTAGAAACAGAATGCATGTTTGCAGTGATTAAGGAAGTTCCCAATGACAGCCCTAAGGAGTGTCATTCCTGATTTTCACTATCTATAGATTTGAGAATATAGGAAACATATGTCTAACAACATAAGGCAGAAGACAGTGATGGGGATGTCTTTTTGTAGAACAGTGTTTCTCAACCTTGACAATTTTAAGGCATGTGGACTTCAACTCCCAGAATTCCACAGCCAGCAATGCTGGCTGTGGAATTCTGGGAGTTGAAGTCCACATGCCTTAAAATTGTCAAGGTTGAGAAACACTGTAGAAGAACAGAACATTTTCATCATCTTGATGGACTACAATCACCTGAAATTAATTTTAGCCTTTTGTTCTTAAAGAAACAGAAGACTTCAAAGCACAGCTATATTCTTATTTTGTAAATGCATGCAGAGAGCCCTTTTTGCTTCTAACAATAAGCATACAGCTTTTGCATATCTTTTACAGACATATGCTGAATTATAGAAGTTTTTAATATATTTGCCTTTGAATAGGTACATTTCAGATTTTGTTACATTTTAACCTATGCCAACATAAAAATATTTGAAAGATAGCTGAATGAACAAAAGATAATAGCTATTATCTGACATAAGACAATAGATATTGGTTCACACACTATGAAATTTGTTGCTTGGTGTGATTCCAGCTTTTTTAAACACTGCTATACATGGCATTCAATTCTTCTGTTTTGAGATTCTGCAGTTTATATCTTACAACTCACATGCTTTTAGGCAATTTCTATATAGCCTATTAAATCAAGTTTCAATGCAAGTTTCTGTGCACTGTCAGCTCTAAATTTCTGTATTGATTTTGTTTTGTTTAAGGCACTTAAAATGCCAGCAGGTAAGATGGTGTTTGCCAACACAATGTACTAATCAAGTCCCAGGTCAAAACATAGTATGAATTCTGAAATGAATACTTTGAAATATATCTGACAACATAATGGATTGGAAGTATTCCAACTGACTTTTTAAAAACTTGATTTTGTTAATCTGCAACATAATACAAGCTGGCCTTCTGAAATATGACTTTATAAGAAGGCATAGACAAAGTAGCAAACAATGAAGCATATAAAGGTGGTTTTGAGTTCACATGACATGCCCAATACCTATAGACAGTAACATTTAACCATGCCACAACAAGGTGAAGCTGAATTAAGCAATTTCCAAAAGTAGTGATATTCACGGACAAGGAAGTCATAAGTGTAGATTACCGTGGAATTTTAGAATTACCGTAAGATTTCAACCGTCTACTTTCGTTATCAAGTTCTAAAATGAAACTCTTCTCTAGACTGTTTATGAGTACTATTTGTCAGTCTAATTACGTTTGAAGAATTCGTAAATAGACTGATACTGACTATTCCTATGTGTATGTGTCCTGGGTTACTACTTAACTCCAGGTGGGGAGGGGAGGGATTGCAAGATTACAAATCACCTTTACTTAAATAATGAATTCTAAGGTGAGCCTTCAGGGGATTCTGAATTTTGATTGGTTTTGTTATAATCTCAGAGAGCATAGATTCCTCTTTATATGCTTTGTTTCTGACACTAGAATCCTTTCAGCAAGGATACTTTAAAATCTAATTATCAACTAATTCCCCAAAGTTTGTATGCTCCAGCTCTTGTTTCTTTGTTGTGTGAAGCAGAACTCTGATAACCTCACCTGGCCATGTGAATGGGGCAGCAATCTGCTATGTGAAAGCTACATTTCAGCGGGTGAGTAATTGTTTTCCAAATTCCAAAAGAGGTTAAAAACAGCCATCTCCAGCTGCTTAGCAACTGCAGAGTATTTTTTACTCTACTCACTTCAGGACTGATCAGTTGTGACAACAGGAGCCCCAAATATAGATGAACATACAGCATCCCCACTTCTCCAATTGTGGAATTGTATTGGTGCTACAGGTAGTCCCCAACTTACGACAATTGAGTCTGTTGCTAAGTAAAACATCTGTTAAGTCAATTTTGCCCCATTTTACGACCTTTCTTGCCACAGTTGTTAAGTGAATCACCGCAGTTGTTAAGTTAGTAACGTGGTTGTTAAGTGAATCTGGCTTCCCCATCGACTTTGCTTGTCAGAAGGTTGCAAAAGGGGAATCACACAGAACTGCAACTGTCATAAAGATGAGTCAGTCCGAATGTTGATCACATGACCACAAGGATACGGCAACAGTTGTTAGGTGCAAAAAATGGCCATAAGTCTCTTTTTCAGTGTCATTTGTAACTTCAAATTGTCACTAAACAAACTGTTGTAAGTCGAGGACTACTTGTACAGACACCTTCTTCGGGTTACTCCTTTTCCCCCCAGATTTTTAAAGCAACACATATATTTAGGGATGCTCACCTGGACAGTGCAGCTCCCAATACAAAAGAGGCATATTCCTTCATCAGTGGTTCACTGCTGTTTAGCCCATTAATCAAAAGTTGCAGACCACCAAGGGAAAGCAAATCTTTTGCATTATCCACCTGTAAAAGATATATATGGGTTCCACCTTCAAGTAAGTACTGCATTAAAAACACACATATACAGAGATAAATCAACTCACACGTTCTAAATGCTAAACAATTAAGAGGCTTTAAAATCAAATGCAAAATCTCTTGCCTCAAATCAAATAACGCTGCTGCAACTTTAGGCCCAGCCTCTTTGCAATCTTTTACAATGTTGTGAAAGGTCCCACATTCTGCCAGTATTTCTTATGGAGAAAATATTCCTTGAGCAGAATCCCATTCAGGGGATCTCTGGGTACAACCCGACAGTTATTTAGTTATTATAATCAGCTCTGGAGGGAGTAATTGAAAATTCAGTTGCTGTGATTAGCTTGCCAACTCCCTGTACAGTGTACTTACTAGAAGAAAGAAAGCTAAAGTTCGTATTTCTTTAGTTTAGAATATATCCCTGGGAATCTAGTGAGTTAAATAGTATTCTAAGTATGACTTAATTAATAAGGTTAGGGAGTTAAAAACACTTGGGAGGTAGTAATAAGAAGATTAGAACCTCATCGGCCAGTACAAAGGATGTGGAATGAGAATTTAGAACATTGATCATAAAATGACTAAGCTGACTTGAGATGTGATTAAGAGAAAGAGTTAACGTTAGGCTTGATGAATCGAGGAAAACCTTTGTAAAAGAACAATGCTGTAATACTCTTAATGCAAATCATGTATGATTCAAAATTTGAACAAATGAGTTCAGGTTCTTTATTCAAGAAGGGCGCATTCATTAACACCTGTTTCTACAGATGTGATGGTGGCACAGTGGTTACAATGCAGTATTGCAGGCTAACTCTGCCCAAAGCCAGGAATTTGATCCTAATCGGCTCAAGGTTGACTCAGCCTTCCATCCTTCCGAGGTCAGTAAAATGAGGACCCAGATTGTTGGGGGGCAGTATGCTGACTCTGTAAACTGCTTAGAGAAGGCTATATATAAGCGGTATATAAGGGGTATATAAGTCAAAGTGTTATTGCTATTGCTATTCTACAAGACATGTAGTCATGTAAATGTCAATTCCTGGAATGGCCCCAACAACTGCTAGTGTTTTTAATTTATTTTTTTTTACCTGGTGGACATAGTACTCAAGATCTAAAAGTGCTGTAATTTTCTCCTCAAGCGTTGAATCTGAATTGTTGAATTTGTTGATGAGTTTCAGCATAATTTCAAGGTCAGTTTCCAGCTGCAGATTCAGCTCCCTGAATTCTTCCTTTAGCTTTTCGATGGGACGGAATCTACGTCGGACTTCTTCCCGATGAGCCTAGAAAATGGGGGCAGCAAACCAAAAGACTCTAAGCCTAAAGTAAACATGCAGACATTCATGATTGTTTCTCCAAACAAATGGTGCTTCTTAGTTGCACATATACAACCTCTATTACTCTGTGGGCAGAAACAGGAGTAAATAAATATCCCTTAATAATTACAATCTACTGTTTTTGTAAGATTCCTGTTCTCATTCTAGGGCTGCTGCTTTCTAGAAACTGGGATAGGAGATGGGGAAAGAGAAAGAAAACAACCCTCTGGGTTTTAATCATTTCTACTTTTAATGTCTGTTATTTCTGTTGTTTTGCTTTCTAGCAAATCATCTGCTCAATGTCAACTGATGTAGGCATACACTGAACCAATGCTTTCAGAAAGCAAAGAATCAGGCCCCTAGGTTGAAGCATCTGCCTACCAAAATGAGGAGGAGACTGAACAAAGTGAAAAACACATGGAAAAGGCTCAGCAATGTTAGAACACAAGTTAAGCCACAACGTGGTCTTTCGTCTGCTCATCTGCTACACTCTCAGGTGCTTTTTGCTAGGTAGGCAATGAGCTGATGCTCAAATGCCTTTATAAAAAAAAACTGGAACATTTGCTGCAATTGTCTGGGAACTGCCCAAGTTTTTAATTTAAAAAAAAAAAATCAAAATCATTTCCATCTGAATCCTGTAAGTAAAAAAAAACCGGATGGATACGCATGTTGATGAATATTAAGTGAGCTTCCTTACCTGCTATTATGCATGGATCCTCACAAAAGCGTAAGAAAATAAAAGAACAAAGGAATTTAGAAGCCAAAGACAGATTGGTTCATTAAAGCAGAGGCACATTACCCAAACTCCCTCTAAAAGTCATCTCCCAATTGAAATTTGTGATGTGAACACAATGATACATTATGAACTGTGTGCATGCTGACCGTATTTTATTTTCGCCATGTTCCAATTAGAATTACATTACCAACTAAATTACAGAGAATTGGGTTTGCTTGTTTATAAGATTTGTGTGCTGCCACCATCTTGTTTAATCTATGTTCCCTGGATGTCATTCAAAAACTCAGTGTGAGCCTCAGTCTGAAAAGAGAATGTGCATCCTTGCGCTGGAAGTGGAGGGTTGTTTCTCTTGCTCTTTCCCTTTCCTTAGGAAAGGGAAGAAAACAGACATGATAAGGAAGGAGAGATTATCAGGACTCAGCCGGACCAGACCGCATCCATCTTCTTGGTTCACATTTGTGTCATTGATTTCACTTCCTTTATCCACTTTTTCCCCACTGAATTTAAGGATACGAGAGCTAAGTGCTCAGCAGCCTACCCATTGTTATTTTCCTGGATTTATATCATACCTTTTCTTCTGATGTATCGTCTGCCTTTGTGGTTTCTTTCATTTTAGCCAAGGCCCTTTTGAGTTCTTGCGTTGTGAATGAACTTGGGTCAATATCTATTTGGCCTAGCCTGGCATAAAAACATAAACAATGTGTCAACAATGGAATGGATATATCCCCTTCAGAAAAGCCAGCCTGACCCTATTTATTCAACTAAGCACCCCTCCCCTCATCTTCAGGGAACTTCTCTCTAGCAGAGTGTGTGCTGCATGCCATCATAAACCTTTCCATATAAAGGTCATCTTCAACTTACAATGGTTACAATGGTTTAGTGACTGTTCAAAGTTACAACGGCATGGGAAAAAGTGATTTATAACCATTTTTCACACCACCATTGTAGCATCCTCACAGTCACGTGATCAAAATTCAGACTTTTGGCAACTGCCTCACATTTATGATGGCTGCAGTGTCCCGGGATCATGTGATCCTCTTTTGCGACCTTCTGACAAGCAAAGTTAATGGGGAAGCCAAATTCACTTAAAAACCATGTTACTAATTTAACTGCAGTGAGTCTCTTAAAAACCGGGTTACTAACTTATCAACTGCAGTGATTCAGTTAACAATTGTGGCAAGAAAGGCTGTAAAATGAGGTAAAATTCACTTAACAAATGTCTCACTTAACAACAGAAATTTTGGGCTCAGTTGTGGTCGTAAGTCGAGGACTACCTGTATTTTGTAATAACTGATCCCTTGCAAGATAATCTTTCTAGTTTTTTATAGCTCAAATAATGTATTTTTCATATTTCATCAAATTCTTAATCTCTTGGTCCTCACATTTAAATATGCTAATTAACATAAATGTTACCTTTTTCATCAAAATGTAATCTTTATTCCAAAGAAACTAGTAATTAAGTATAATCAGTACTGATGTGTTGATAGAATCTTTAGCTAGATAATTTTCTATTTATTATTTATTTAAATTCCATCTTCCAGTTTGGGTAAACAATCAAAATATAAATAGTTATTCCCCTGATACATTATATACCCCCTGCTTAATTTTTGAAGCCCCAAAGTTAAGAACAATATTGATTCTAATTCTGAAATGCTATACCCCAGCCATTATTTGTACTGTTATAATACATTGTAGACAGGGAATCTGTAAACACTTTTAAGGCTAACCAACTTTATTAGGGAATAAGTTTTCATGAGTAGCAGCTCATGACATAAAATGAATAGAGCATGCTCACTATTAGAGGACTTTAAATACAGAAAGCGGAAGTAAAAAAAAGTGGGTGGAGAAAAACAAGCTAATGGGTTTACACAATAGCATAACTGAAAGCCACATTAATTGGCAGATATAATGGTCTAAAAACCCATTGTCCTATTCAAATTTTCTCTAATGGAATGCATTTTTTAATGCATTGTACTTTAGTTGTTTCTCCTTGCATAATGCTGATGAAGTTCCTCTGTATCACTACTGCTACCATGAGGTCAGTAATGGAATGTCTTGGGAGGCTGAAATGTTGGGCCACTCTCTTGTTACTGTTTGATTTGTGTTTATTTATTCTCTTGTATATGGCTGAACTGCATGATGGCTAGAGGTGAAGACTCTTGCCTCCCACTCAGAAGGTTGAGAATTCAATCCTAGGCAGTGACAGATGTTTCTCTATCAGGCCACAAAGAGAAAAACCCTGCTGTGAACTCTGTGTAGGCTTCAGGAAGGGCATCCAGCCAGTAAATGCTCAGCTCCATTCAGTCATGACTTCTATGGAAAACTTGCTCTGGAAAGACGCGTCTTTCTGATAGCATTCCCTCTCAAAGAAACAATGAAAACTAATAGAAGCTGACCCACGTCAAGTTTTTTTTAAAAAAAAAAGGCCTTTAAAAATCTGTATACCTTTTACTTTTTGGAGAATCTTTTGTGTCACTTTTTTCTTCGTTGTCATCTGGAAGCTTGGCTAATTTTTCTCCAGTCTGAAGATTTAATTGTACATGTAATCCTGCAGGAATAGCTTGACCTAAAAATAAGAAGATTTCCATTTTGTCTCTTTCTGTTCCATAAATATTCAAAACTATATTCCAAAAGAGGACCAATTAAAAATTAAAGAATATTAAAGTTCCATCATATTAGTCTAGGGTAAGATCATCTAGTTGGAGACCCCTACCATGTCCCCAAATGGTGAATAATTTCCAGCACTCCTCACCATGAACATCTTCTATGCAGTTTCTGGGATCTGTAATTCAGCAACATCTGGAGAATCATAAGTCTGGTTGCATAAATAAAAGTGTAATATCCTACTTTACTATATTTAATCTCCTTTTACAGAGATTATTGTGGAATCCACGGACCATTTGTGTACGTATGCCAAATGCAGACAGAATACTATTATCAACAGTCAGAACTGTATGATTGCCTGAATCCTTGCAACACAAAATTAGAAATCTATTTTAAAACAATATGATTTGCTGAAGTCCTAATTTCTTCTGCAGTGTACCAGGGTAATCAGAGCCTATTCAAAAATAAACTGATAATCTAACCCAAGAAAAAGTATGTAATCTGAAAATTAGAAGCAAAACTTTCTTAGCACCACTGCTTCCAATGATCAGCAACTCATGAGCTTCTATACTCACAGAGCATTCGTGGCAATGGGCTTTACGGGGTAAAGAAACATGGGAATAATTTCTAACAGAAAAGAATGAGAGTAGCCTAGATTTTCTGTGAAAGTTTCTGCTATTTGTATGTGTATCTTTTAAAAACTAATGGATTCAACCTATCAATGAAGTCATTAGGAGTCAAGTTTATTCAAGGGAGACTTGACCTTTTAAAGCTGTTAACCAAAAGTCCTGCAAAAAAAATCTCAATGGAAGGACTGACAATGCAAATACTGAGCCATTTAGGTAACATGAGAAAGGAATCATACCGAGCAAACATGTATTTTAAATAAGACACAAATGTAAAAAGGGAACAGAATTAAAATGGTTGATAGAGGAAACATATGTTCAGTCAGAATTGCACAGTATGTGTTTCTGAACTAAGGAAATCATAAATGAAAAGATTGAGATTTTCATTAATATAATCTGTAACTGAAGTACAGGTAGTGCTCAAACTTACAACCATTCGTTTAGTGCAAGGGTAGGCAACCTTGGCTCTTTTATGACTCATGGACTTCAACTCCCAGAATTCCTGAGCCAGCCATGCTGAGGGGAAAGGGAGAGGTTTCCAAGCTGAGCCATGCTAGCTCAGGAATTCTGGGAGTTGAAGTCCACGAGTTATAAAAGAGCCAAGGTTGCCTACCCCTGGCTTAGTGACTGTTCAAAGTTACCACAGCACTGAAAAAAGTGACTTATGACCATTTTTCACACTTACAACCACTGCAGCATTCCCATAATCACATGATTAAAATTTGGCCATTTGGCAACTGGTATGCATTTATGATGGTTGCCGTGTCCCAGGGTCATGTGATCTTTGTGACCTTCTGGCAAGCAAAGTTCATGGGAAAGCCAGATTCACTTAACAATCCTGTTACTAACTGAACTGCAGTGATTCACCATGACAAGAAAAGTCGTAATATGGGGGCCAACCTCACTTAAAAACTGTCTCAATTTAACAACATACATTTTGGGCTCAGTTGTGGCCGTAATTTGAGGACTACCTTTAATCTCGCAGTTTTTCAAGCGTATCCAGCGTGAGACATGAAATTTGTTCTCAGAAAAGTTTGGAACGCACAGTCTTTTTATTTCAGAACTGAACAGGTTTATTTCATTTAAGGAAAATGATAATGAAAATAGATTACACAATGATTGTTTTTTTCATTTTAGATCTTATTTAATCAAGCAAGAGTGACTGCATTTGAACAGCGTGTCTTACACATGTTTTGTATATAAAAATATCATGATCGTAAAATGTGATCTTGCATTTTCCTTGGTGTGCATTTCATAATTTGGCTTCATGTCTGCACCTCCAAAATGTAAATAGACAAAAAAGGTGTAATCTAATTAAAATATAATTGACTCCATTTTCAAAAAGTGCTCATTATCTATATATGGGGTTTTTTGGGGTTTTGAGACTAGAGGAAATATTAATAACTTAGATATTAGTTTTTACTTCTATTCATTTTTAAAATATTTTCCCTTAAGTCATGCACTACTGACAAAAAGAGCTTCAATAATTTAGCTCCTTAAGTAGCAGTCTCATTTATTAGAACTTTCTTCCACCAATTAATCAACAGAGCCTTCGATCAACTGAGATTTGAAGGTTATTAAACCCTAGTACGTGTGGATAAGCATATAAAATAATGTAAATAACTTTTCTTCTAAGCAGCCAGTATTCAGTGTCCTCTGAAAGGATCACTGAGTGCATTTGTATACATGCAACCAGAGAGGACAGTTCTTCTGGCACTGCCACTGAAGCAAAGCACATATTTAACCTGAAGAATTAAATACAAAATTTCGTGATGACTACTAACCTGGATCCTTTAAAAGGGCAATGGTTAAATTTGTGGGACACAGGTCTATCAAGGGCTACTACAGATACAGCATTATCTTTAGGCTGGGGGCAGCATGCCTCCCAATACCAGGTACAGGGCAATATTCCATCTCCTATTTGTAAACACTAGCAGGCACTGAATTGGCCACTGTAAGAAATGCTGGATTAAGCTAAGTCTTGGCCTAATTCGGCCTAATTCTTCCCTAACAACACTTTGAGCAGCAGAGCAAAGATGGGTGTTTTGGTCACTTCGCAAGCCTCCCTTCTGGATTATTTGCACAGCTCTAAAAATAAACTATGTTTCCATTACCTGGCCGGACAGTCTGCCACTGATTTGTTGGATAAAACACTTCCAAGTCTTCGGAATCAAAGTCCTCTTCTTTCTCCTCAATCACCTCCAATTCTTCCTTGTTTTGTTTTTTTAAATCACTCTCTTCTTTTTTTGTCAAAGCAAATTCCTATATAAAAAAAGATAAGGGATACTTTAGACCTGCGAATAAAGGTAAAAATGTCCAGTCATGTCCAGATCGGGAGGGGGGGCAGTGCTTATCTCCATTTCTTAGCCAAGGGAGCCAGGGTTGCCAAAAATTTCTGTGGTCATGTGGCCAGCATGACTATACACCGAGGCACATGGAACACTGTCAATTTCCTACCGAATTGGTACCTATTTATCTGGTTGTATTTGCATGCTTTTGAACTTCTAAGTGGGCAAGTGCTGGGGCAAGTAACAGGAGCTCACCCCATTGTGCGCACTTGGGTCTTGAACCTAAGCTGTCAGCTTTCTAGCATATATATTATCTTTTATTACAAAAAATACTCTATGTTTTACACATGCATTAGAAGGTCTTTTTAAAAACCAATTAAATATGTGGATAGCTATCCACATTGACAACACAGCGGCTCTCACCGTACTAAAAAGAGAAAGATTATCCTCCTGCTCGCCCATATTCATTCTGGCTGATGGCTTCACTTTCTTTAGTGAAACTTATTCAATACTTGTTTATTAAAAATACTTACTGCAACTCTGTCATTCAAGCACAAAGAGAAACTCGTTATAAAAAGCAGCAAGACCACCAAATTCAGCTTTGTCACAATGGAGGACCAAAAGCAGACGACGTGAGGCATTGCAACCTGAAATGAGACAGTTGATTAATAGATCCCTGCCCATTTCCATCCGTTATTTTCATCACATTTTACAATTTACCATATTCCACAGAAAACAAACATGACACTAAGCAGTAAATATTACTGATCCAAAATATATATCCCAAAGCTCTGTTCCAAAGGTATTGATACATGGGTAAATTTCATAAATTTATAATCTTACCTCAGAGAATATTCTTTAGTCAAGAGCAAATTCAGAATACCCATAGTTTAAGCTTATACTATCAGCGTGCAGACTGCATACCGGTACTTTAATTACATGCCATATAATTAATATGAGGGTTCACAGTGATTCAAATAAGTGGTCCTTATATACTTTTTAAAATAATGATAAATGTGCACAGTTTCTGCTAATGCTGCTTCTTTCCTTAATTTTGTTTTCTTTTTGAATGAGAGTCTGGGTGGGAAATCCATGACTGTCCAAGTAAAAACAGATTCAGTATCCCTTCCCACTAACTATAAGGGCAGCAACTACTCAGAATCGTAAGTAAGAGACACCTGGGGGGCACAAGTTCTACCCACCTAGTAAAGGTGGTTCTTCCACCCTAGTTTTGTCAATTAAATAAGCATGCTCTGTCGGTAGCTGCTATTAGCATTCTTTTCTTCATGTATGGAGACAGCAGTTTGGTAGTCACGATGAACTCTGCAAGGTTAAATACAATAAAGAAAGCTCTGTTACTCACAAACTCAAACAACAGTATTGTATTTAGCACCATTCCCTCCATCTTTCTTTGCGTCCACCTCCTTTATTCTCCTAATCTTTTTCTTTACGTCTCTTTCTCTTTTATTCTTTCCCCACCTTTTTCTTTACCTCCCACTACGGCAATTCCTTCAGTGAAAACTGAAATGGGAACAGTCTCGGTTATGCCCTTCCTTGATAGGAGTTCCTGCTGCTATGTGCTACCTTCTTGAAAACCAACCCTACTTTCCTCCTAAGAATTAAGTCAGTGGGGAAGCACACTTGGCATCCCATTTGTGGCAAGGGGAGAGAACAATTTTACTCCATCTCTATCATCACAAAAAGGCCTTTTAAAGTCCTTGAATCACACCATTCATCACAGGAAACTACTGAACAGAAATGACTGCTGAGCACAACTTCTGGGACCAAAGGAACAGTGAGAACTAGAAACCTTCACACAACAGGGTCTCTCTCCTTCCTTCATATTGCTTTGAGTTATCAGCCTGGGATACTATCACTGTAATTTTGAGATAATTTATGGTCATTTGTTCTGCCTTGTGAACTTTGGGGATTGTTCCTTTGCAAATATCATCTGGATTCTGATGTTTGACTGAGCTGGTTTTGCAGTGGATGTAATTTTGTATTATTTTGTTGATTTTGTTTTATTATCTTAAGCTGCTTGATTGTATGTTCCCAAAGTATGGCAGCATTTACTTAGCTAAGGATGAGGAAGAACATGCTGTTCATTTAATGCATTAATTGATTACTCTAATTATATACTGCTAAACATCTGAAAATTGTCCCAAGTAGATTTCATTTCATAACACTATCACCTATTCTACTATGGCAAGAATACCTAGGCCAGTGGTGGCGAACCTATGGCATGGGTGCCAGAGGCGGCACTGAGAGCCCTCTGTGGGCACGCGCGCCATTGCCCCAGTCCTAGGCCTTCAGCTGGGTTTTATAAAACCTTTTCGCTTTAGGCCTCCACTGCCGTGCAGTAGCATTCAATCAATCAGTCAATTTCAACTTCTCATGGGAAAAAAAAAGATCTTGCAAAGTTGGAATTGACTGATTGAACTTTTTAGTCCCACTCAGTCTGCTGTTACCACCGCAACCATGCCCACCCAATGGGCCACACCCACCCAATGGGTCACACCCCCACGGCACCTGACGATGCATAAGTGGGTTTTGGGTTGCAGTTTGGGCACTCGGTCTCTAAAAGGTTCGCCATCACTGACCTAGGCAGCATATTAGAATGAGAAAAAATCTGGATTAAATACTCAGCTATAAATCTCATGGGTTGTGCAGTTTACAATTCTCATATAAATCCAGAAAAATGAGTAAATGAAGTAAACTCTGCTTAAGTTAACAAGAGGTGTATCATGCAAATCAGAACCCATGGAAACCATGAGTATTAGCTCCCTCTTAGAAAGCGATCTGTGTGACCTTGGGCCAGTCACTCTCTCTCAACCCTTATAGGAAGGAGGCAATAACACGCCACTTCCAAAAAAAAGCTCACCAAGAAAACTGCAGGGACCAGTCCAGGCGCCCCCAACCCACCTCAATTTTCAAAGCAGTATCATTTATTTATAACATATTTCTTTATAATAAAGTGTTTCTTGTTTTAATGTTTTATATTGGCGTTTTTTTATTAATAGTAAGCCGCTCAGAGTCACCTGGTTGAAATAGGAGGCATATAAGTTCAATAAATAAATAAATAAATAAATGATATTTCTCAAGAGCAACTTCACATGCTGGTATTAATAGAAATACTAGATTATTTTTAAGGGTACATATTATAATTAAAAGTTGATTAATCTAATTCAAGATCAAATACTGTTTACAGACTTGACTCCTACCCAGTGATGGGATTCAAATATGTGAACAACCGGTTCTCTGGGTGGATGCCGCTTCCGGAAGTCCACTCTGGACCTGGGCAACAAAAAATTAGCTACCAGTTCTGCCAAACTGGTGCGAACCGGCTGAATCCCACCACTGCTCCTATCCAGTTTTAATCTATCCGAGAGGCTGTTCTATCTGGGCAGCAATTGGAAATGGGACAGGAGGCAAGTGACACAGAACCGCCGCAGTTCCTACCACACACTTTGTGTGTTGTCAACACCGGCTTTCTAAAGCTGGGTCAGAAAGAGCCAATCAGCCCATAATCTTCAGGGACGTGTTGAAAAGCCAAATAAGCCGGTTCTCCCGTGGCTTCATATTCCCGGTCCCCAAACTTTTTCTAAAGTTAACATTTATTTGTGCAGTAGCATTCAAGGGTCCAACCTGCATGGCCCGGCTAAAGCAGAAGAGAACGGCGACTATTCCCCTTCACTTCTATGGAATAGAGCAGGGCTTTTCAACCAGTGGTACGGGTACCACCTGTGGTACATTGGCACCTGGCAGGTGGTACGCGACCATCCTAGAGAAGTGGTAGCGGGGGAGGGGAACGAGATGGCTGGAGCTGCAGGGCTGTCAGGGCTCAGCGGCAGTGCCAGGCTCCAGCTGGAGCTCGGCGCTGATCCTGGCGCTTCTGCTGAGCCCAGAAGAAGCGCCGATCAGCTGGAAATGTTGCAGCCTCTCCAGGGTCTTGTGATTTACATTCAGATGCTTGGCAACTGATTCATATTTATGACGGTCACAGTGTCCCAGGGTCATGTGAAGTGACCAAAACCTGCTGCAACCACCCAGCAGACGGGGGGAATAAAAACCAAACACCCCCCATCCCCGCTGCCAATCCTCAACAGACATGCTCACAACAATGAAAACCTCGGACAGGAGGAAGAGCGCGTCTGGGCGGGCAAGCAGGTGTCTTGCTCCGCTGTGCCTTGGGAGACACTTTTTTCAGTGCCATTGTAACTTCAAACAGTCACTAAGCGAACTGTTATAAGTCAAGGACTACCTGTACTTCATCACTTTTTCCCTTTTTTTTTTTTTTTTTGATCATCAAGTTTTTGACACCTTGCTAGGTGACTGGTGGTACTCGGATATTGCCATATCCTGAAAGTGGTACAATGGGTGAAAAGGTTGAAAAGCCCTGGAATAGAGCAAATGCGACCCCAGTTGCACCCAACGGTTTCCAACACAATTCCCATCAGCCACGCAGAAAGCAACCGAGAGTCAAGTCCAAAACATATGGGCAGCACGTAGGACGAGAGGGGAAAGATCCCCGGCAGCTTAACTGCTGATAGCGCCGCTTCGTGCTTGGAGGGGGATGCCCGGCTGCCTCGGAAGGAGCCCTGACGACCACGCAACCCTCTCTCGCCCGCCCTCCAGCCCCTACCTCTTTGCGAACTCTCTTCCAGCAGGAGCCGGACCCCCGAGCCGGCCCGAACGCACTCTTCACCAATCAGGAAAGCCCGCGTCACCACCGCCCCCCTCCCTCGCGTCAGAGTTCTCGGGCAAGAGCTCCGCCCATTCAAAGGAAGCCGCGCTCCCAACGTGGCTGCCCTGCAGGAGGTGGCATAGAGATAAGAATTTTAGAGGCGCTCACCAGCTTGCAAGTTATTACACTTCCTGGTCCGCTAAATGCCTTTCCGCCCTGACCGCCCTGCCTCGGACTGACTCCAAAAGTCAGGAAAAAGCGCTTGTTATTTTGTCTTAAATTCCTCTCCTCTCTCTTCAGTCACAGTACATTTGTATGTACATATCTTTAGCAAATTTCTTTCTCGTCTAATAATGGCTTTGTCAGCCTTCATTTCCCTAACTAGTGAGCAGAAAAAAAACCCCTAAATTTGAACACAGGAGGCATCTCCAGTATAGAATACTGAATCAGATTCAGTGTTTCTCAACCTTGACAATTTTAAGGCAAGTGGACTTCAACTCCCAGAATTCCACAGCCAGCAATGCTGGCTGTGGAATTCTGGGAGTTGAAGTCCACATGCCTTAAAATTGTCAAGGTTGAGAAACACTGAGATAGATCAAGTGTAGCTTCACGAATTTCCACTTTTAATAAAGAATTAAAAAAAAAAACACAACCCAATTCTAGCCAATAACTCATCCTGCAGAGATTAACTTTTCATCTTATATCAATAGTTTGTACAGGAATATGTTCCTAGTTATTATTATTAATTTGTTATCCTGGCTTTTATTTTTAAGCTGCCAATTTATACTGTTAATCTACAATAAAGAGGGCGGGTTATTTAAAAGGAGCAAACTCTGTCAACTCTGCAGAGATTCCGATTATAGTCCAAGCTTTGGACTTCATTTAAAACATGCCTCACACTAGTATTAATATAGGCAACCTTTTCCAAGGAATCACCAGTGTGCCTGTAGATAAGAGGCTTTCTTCCCTATCTTAAGAAAAAAAATGAAAGAACATTTCCAATATCTTCATTTCAAAAAATTCTCTGAGCTACAGATAGGCCTCCTCAGTTCTTATAGAAAACATAAATGATGCATGCCAAAGATTCATTTGCAGGCACTCCCCTTCCCCTATTTCTCTTGAGAGAACAAAGGCAAAAATAATATGAAGTAGCAAGGAACAAATAGAGAGTGGTAGGAAGATTCTTCACTGTTTCCCTGTGATTTTTGTGACTAGCCACATACAAGGGCTGGCCTTTGGAGCCAACGGCTGTATCAGGAACTCTGAAGTTTGAAGTCTGAACCATGTTGAACTCAACATGGTTTAATGAAATTAAGCCAATTGGTCTGGATTCTTAGAACATAAGTGAACTGTGTATTATTTTTTAATAAATTTTTATTGATTTTTATAATTAAACAACAAATACCAACATGATGCATTTACAATACAAGCAGAAAAAAGATAATCCAAATCAATACATTTTTGGAAACGCTGGGCAGTCCCCCGCCTTGCCTCCACCCTCATCCACTTTCCTATCCTTCCTCCCTCTAAACCCACAACCTCTCCTCCTTCCTCCTTTCCACCTACCTACATCCCATCTCCTTTCTTAACCACCTCATCGAGTGCAGCTTGGGGTACCAGCCGAGCATCTCCTCTTTTCAATATAATTATTGTTTACCTATAACATATAAATACATCAATTTTTATAATTTGTCCCCTAATCCCCTCCCCCCCCCGGACTTCCCGGAACCAAATACAGGATTAAAACACATCCCATTCCATATCTAAACTGTATTATTGTTGGATTTTCAAAGTAGTCAATCACATTAGTCAATCACATTTAAGCCTAGCTATTTTTGTAAACGCAGGCTTATTGCGTTCATCTACCTGATGCTAATTTGAAGAGGAGGGAAAAAAATGGTATTAGTGCCAGTAAAGAAAACTTCCTCTCCAGCTCGTGTGGGGGGGGGGGGGAGAACATAAAAGACCTGAAATAAAATCAAAGCTCAGCTTCTCGCGACAGATGCTGGGCAACACAACGACCGCGTTCTCTCGCGAGAACCTCCTTCGCACAAAATTCGAGGCGCTGCGGCCAGACGGCGCATGCGTTGGTTAGATTAGCGGTCCGATGCGAGCGGTGTGGGAGTGAGAGCTACGCAGCTTCGGTTGGGGATTTTTTTTTTTTTGTTCCCTCTTGGTCTTTTTTTTTTCCAGGTTTTATTTGCGGTAGCGATGGAAAAATAAGCGAAAGACTCCTTTTCTTGCTGAGGTAGGAGTGTGGTGTAGGTGGGCGGTGTCGATTTTTGTTAGGCCGCGCGGGCTTCCTTTGCTGCGCCGTTTGGCCTCAACCGTTGGCGACTCGGAGGGAGGAGGGGCGCGCGCTGCTCCGCAACGCTCGTGCGCATGCGGAGAGGGAAAAGAAAGGGAGAAGCCCCGCCCGTCGGAAAGTGGTCGTGCGCGCCCTCAACAGTGAGAAAATAGGCCTCGGCGCCGAAGCCTGAGGTGTGGTCGTGCGCATGCGCGGGTCTCGGAAGCAAAAGAAGCCTGATCGAGTCGAGGTTTATACGACCTCCTTGTTCTTTGTTACGTAGGCCATATTTATCACCTTCCTTTGGAGTAGCTAGCCGATTTGCATCTTGCATCTTTATCTTATGTTCTTGGGCGCTTCTTTGCAATTTAAAAAAAGACAGCGTTGCTTAGTGTTTCTCGTTACTAGCGACGATCAAACAAGGTTTGTGCATGTTTGCCCAGAAGTAAGTTCGTTTGCATTCAGGGATGCTGATTATCAAATGCATTTTTAGTGCTACTTGACTATTTAATGGCGCCTCGTGGGCATTACTCCTTTGAACTACTAGGCGCTTGGTCTAATAATGCATGATTTTTTTAAAAAATCGTAACTGCAAAATTGATCCCAAGTTTACTGATCGCCATTTTGAGATCCTAATCGAATATTTGTCGTCTGCTACATTGAGATGGTTGGATTTGATCTCAGTTGAACGACTTGATCGAATGCAAGTGGCGGGTTTTGTTTTGTTTTTTTTAAATTACCTAGAAAACTAATTTACTTTGGCTCGTGCAAAGATGGAAAGTTGTTAATGATAAGCTTTTGTGGGTGATGGTTTCTGTATATGAAAAACGCACAGCTGCGAATTTGAAATTTTTAAACACAAGACAACTTGAATCTTAAGGCTTGGTTGTAGTGAGAGCGAATCCCTGTTGTATTTTTTTTCAAGATTCCAGAATTAGAATGCCAGAATCTTTTTCAAGATTCCAGAATTATTCCAGAATAATTCTATAAGTTGATTCCTCATGCTGATCAAAGGCCCGATTAATTCATCAAACGCAAAAAATTCTATTGCAGCCTATATTTCATCAGGATTTGATACTGGACGTGTATTGAGACTAGTAATGGCTATGTTTTCCGTGGTATTTTCCATAAAATTATGCAAAATTGAAATGTTTAAAGAATAGAAGTAGAATATTCATCAGAAATGGTTAATGAATATGATTGCAAACTTTTTTTCCCCTCCAAAACATGTCACAGTAAGTAGTGGAACATTTGAATTGGGAATCTAGCTATAAAACTTTCTTCTTTCCCAAATTAATGGGGCAAAGTCTCTCTCTCACACACACACATATGCACATGCAATCTCCCATTGTAAATATTCAAATATTTATTAGTAAAAATATGTGTAAATATTTCATTAGGAAAAAATTAGGCCAAGATAATCTATACCAAAGATATTTGACTGCTTCTTAGTATAGCCATATTAATCTATAACATTGTTTCAGAAATATTTAATTTCTGAGTTAAATTGATGAATACTTTAAATTGATGAATTTAATTGAATGACTAAATTGATGAACAGTTTAATGAACTTAGAATTGAATAATGAATGTCTTTACCTTGCTTGCAACTTTGTAGGCTTAGCTCTACTGTTTTTTTTCTAGACTGGCAGCCTTGGAGTAATATAATTCAGTGTTGGTTGATATTTGAAATTATTCTCCAATTTTGCTCATTCCTGAAATTATGTGTAATTACAAACTTGGTATACTTTTTTTAAAAAAAATTACAGCCCATGAATGCCCTATATATAGTAATTAAAACATCTTGAGTTGAATGTTAATGCTGAATTGCCCAGCTATTTTTTTCCAATTCCTTGAAGACTAAACTCTCTTATGAAACATAGCTGTTATAGGGATAAGCAGCAAGTTTAGACAAAGGAAAAGAGGATATTAGCTATCAATAAAGTTCTAGTTTATCAAAACTAAACCCTGGAATATTGCACTTGGATCTTAGAAGTTCTTAAAACACAGTTTAAATTCACATTCATGTCTGATAAGGACTGCTTTTTAAGATTAAAATGTTAGAAAATTTGATCAAAATATTTGATCAATCTAGTTTTAACATTTTAGTTACTTAGATGTGACTAAGGAGTTCAGATGCAGGAAATCAATGGCCTATCGGTGATTCGCAAGGTACTTTAGTCACTTATAGCCTTTCATTTGTCTGCACTTAGTTTCAGGGATGACTCAAATCTAACTATATGAGAAAGGAAGCACAGTTATACTTAGTTTCCATGTTAAAATACAGTTTGCCTTACCTGTCTGCATTGAAATAAATAATCCAAATTTCTATAATTGCTTCTTGTAATGGAATTGCTCTCATTTAATCAGTTTTTTTGCTGCTATAGTAATTTTTCTGAGATGCAGTAAACAGAATTCTACACAGTGGCTGGGTTTATGCACTGTGCTAAGTTGTAAAGTATGGTTTGTAATGCACATATCTAGGTTATGGCTTAGCTTGATTATGGGAACATAACCAGTACTCCCAAGAGTGTCACACTGTAGATTTAAATTAGACAATTTTTATATTATGACTGATATCACTCTACTTTCTAAAGGTCTGTAGGATGAAATTCACTTATTTTACATTGGTTACATAACAGTTGATATTTTGAGTATGCTACATCTACCACAACTCCCAAAATATCTTTCTTGATTAGTCATTACTCATGCAGATTCTATTAAAGTATAGTTGGAGTTCTGATTTCTTGTTGCTCCAATGTGGAGTCCTTTACATTTATATTAAATTGCAGTTTCCATTTTAAAGCCCATTCACCAAGTTTAAACAGCTTATTTTGCAGCTTTTTTTCAATCCTTTCTTTCCTTTTTCTTGAATAATTGGAAAATCTGATTAACTCATGCCCAATTCTATCTCATAAGTTAGTTACATATTAAGGAAATCCAGTTTCTTCCCTTTGAAAAGTATATATTTAATTTTACTCTCTATTTCCTGATCTTTAACCAGTTATCAGACAGTGGAAGGATGAGATAAAATATTTCTCCAGGAATTTTTTATAAGCTACTTTGAAACAGTTCTAAAGAAGTAATGGCATATAGAATTTCTTGGATCATAATCATAGACAGTCCTCAACTTATGACCTTGTGTTCTAATGACAGTTCAAAGTTATGATGGCCTTGCAAAGTGACTTACAACCTGTACTCACACTTACAACCATCATGCTATTCTTGATTACAATTGGAGTGCTTGGCAACCGATTCATATTTATGACTAGTTCATCACTCCATGGTCATATGATTGCGATTTGCCAATTTTTTTTTTGCCAATATCCAGCAAAAACGCCCATTAGGGAAACTGGACTTGCTTAATGTCTGTAGTTCACTTAATCATGGTTATTTGGTTAATAACTGCTGTAAAAAAAATTGGCTCTGACTCAGCTTACAATTGCAACAACTTAGGATGGAAATTCTGGTCCCAATTGTGATCATAAGTTGATAATTTAGCTGCATTTACATTCCTTACAAAAATTTAAAGTTTGAAAAACTATAAAAGCTATTCTTAGAGAAGCCCCATTTTATTGAAAGTACTTTCTGCAGTATATTCCTGATGTTTTTTTCTTTAATATTTTATCGCTAATATCTGCTAGGTAGTTTTAGCTGATCTGTAACTACTTGTAACTTTCTTCCCATACTTTGAATCCATTTTAAAATGTGAAAAAAATGCATATTTTCTAGTTGTTGAATACAGGTACCAAGTTGGGGAAAGAAGTTATATGTTTTCTGGATCAGCAGTTGCATATGCAGATATTTAAAGAACTAGGTAGATGTTTGGATTCAGTGGTTAGTTTTAACTTATCAGTTACATTTTATTTTAGTTTAATTTCCCCTATTTAAAAGTTCAGTTCAACATGGCTATTTGCATATTCACTGCAGACACAAGAATGCAACTGATCTTCCCTGTAATTTCCTTATTCTTTTTAAACACACTAGTAATGGTTCATCAAATATTTTTGAAAATACCCTTATTGCTGGTCATTCTGTCTTTCCCCCAGGTGACCATCAAAGGGGTGTTAATTAGGGGATATCCTTTTGTTTGCTTTTCTAAGTTTTATGACCCTTTCTATTCTAACTTGTGCAAACACTAGCTTTCTTTCTCTTCTAATTTATTCAATTTTTATTGTCCTTTTAAATTCTTGCATCTTCTTTGGATTTGTCTCCTCTTCTGTCATCTGAGATGTACTTTGTAGCTAAGGCATTCTCTTGTAGTTTACAACTGAAAGTTGTTTCACTTAATTTGGAGAAATTGGGCTCTCACTTCTTCATTTCAAGGTGCTGACAAGAAAGGGTTCTGGTCTTTGTAATAAACATTAACTTGACATGACATGATACTACATGAAAGGGAGGCTGGCATAGGAAGACCACTATATAATTTGTTGCTTTTGAATGGTTCATCTAATCTAAAGCTTTTACTGCCAACTACTCGGAGAAGGATTTTTAAAGAGAAAACTCCCTTTTGTGCTTGTATTTGGATTATCAATGTTATTTCATGAAGCTTGTATCTTAGAATATAAAGTGTAAATAATAGCTATATAATTCTGCAGCCTGCCTCTTGGCAGATTATGGGATATATCATTAGAGGTTCATGGTTTGGATTGAATGGCAACTGAGAAGTCATGTTTGTTGGTTTATCAAGTTTTGCTGCATGTTGCAGAAATCCCAACTGAAGGCTTTGCTCCTTCAGTATCTATTTTGTAATGCATTTACTTAAAGTATTCCATTCCAGAGGTCACCTCTGCTAAAGAAATTTGCATACATTACACGGCTGCGCAGTGGTTTGGAACTGAATGGAAAAAGGTGCTTTAAAACAAATGAGGTCGTGGATGCAGCTCATTTTTGCTCATTTTCCTCTAGGAATTGCTATTGGAGAGAATATCAGTTCTTTCAAAGAAATGTTTATTGCACAATTGTGATTGCTTCTTTTATAAATAACCTAATAAGTGAAACTGGACCTGTGTTGATTGCTTCCCATGTAAGAGATCTATACAGTATGTGAAATGTTTAGTTTGTATTACCAACGCTATAGTAGATAGCACCTAATATTTAAATGTTATTTCATTTTAAATGATCTATAATTATTTGGGCTATTCCTGGAATTCCAGAATTAAGAAATGTTCAGATAAATATGTTACAGGTAGGCCTTGACTTATGACCCTTTCGTGATGGTCCAAAATTACTATGGCCTTAGAAAGGGTGCTCTACCTCCTATAAAGCACTTCTGGCCATTGCAAAGCATTACGTGTGCACACTCATGGTTCTGTGATCATGATCTGGTGCTTGACACACCTGTTGGCAGCCTGTTTGCACTTACAACCAGTTTCATTTATTTATCTGTTAAATTTATTTGCTGCCCATCTTGCCATGGGACTTCTTATTTTTACAAATGATTCAGGGCAGCAAATATATCCAACACACCTTCCTCTCTCCCCCTATTTTCCCCACAGCAAACACCCCTGTGAGGTGAGCAGGGTTGAGAGAGTGTCTGGCCCATGGTCACCCAGCTGGCTTTCGTGGGATTTGAACTCTCTCTAGGTAGCCTAACTGTACACTTAACAATCATAACTGGAAATGCAGGGATTGTGATAATTAAGTGAAGCAGTTACATAATATCTTAATTGCTTTGCTCAGCCATTGAAATTTTAGTCTCAGTTGTAGTATGTTGAGGATTACCTTATAGTTTATATAAAAATTATATAAATTATAATTTTATAGATGGCTAGGTGTGGATCTGAAATCCTGGCATGGATATGGAAATCAGTGGGGACTATTATACCCCTGCATTCATGCCAACCTTTGCTCCAAAACATCTGCAGTGGTGGAATGCTAAGTGTTTTCTATTCCCATTGCACAACTGAACTTGGTAACACTATTATTTTTCCTGCTAACTTGTCTCTGGATATAGTTTTTATATGCTTGAATTGAATAAGGCAGTACTCAACCTGTGGTCCGCAGACCCCTGGGGGGTCATGAAGACCTGAAGAAATATGATTTAAATCTTGAGTTAAGTCTTGATGCTGCGTTGGCCCCAAAAGGTATTTAAAAGGCATCAGTGGTGAACAAAAGGTTGAGAACCACTGAAATAGGGAATTTCTTTTGAAACTGAAGTAACTAGTTGCCTGATTTTATTTAGCTAACATCAGTATAAGCAGCACTAAAAAATAATTTCTTGAATGTAGTACACATACATTTCTATACTAGGCAGTATAATTTTTATTGTTTAAATCAAGTAGCATTCTGAGGTGCAGGAGACCCATTCTTCAATAATTGAATGTTCCCATATTTCCATAAATTATTCTTCTTTGACAGGCTTCTGCCTGGTTTGCAAATCGGTTCTCAAATCTTTGGTTGAAGTTCAGCATTACACGAATGAACATCTGCATGTATTATGAAACTTTCTTTATCCTCACGTTATGCTAGGTTGGGGAAACTCTAGGAAGTTAGGGAGAGAATAACTGCCTCTCCTACTTACATGAGTGGAATAACTTCTCACAGAAAAATACAATTTCTTTCCCTTTTCTGTGCTGACTTTTATCTCACACCCTGGTAAAAAGCCAGTAATACGGTTTTGTTTGTTTCTTTCTAAATAGACCTTTAGAAATGTGTAGTAATAGAACAGGGCTATCTCTTTATAGGTAGAAAATCCTGTTTCTCTATTTCCACTCCAGTTTCTACTTGAGGCAAAATGGAAAATATTCTCAGCCTTAATTGGCAATGGTAAAATAATTCTTAAGCTTGGCATATTAACTTTTAGTTTCTTTATATATATATATGCCTCATCATGTCTAGGACTTAAGTCAGTATAATTCTTACAACCTTTTAAGGAGACTGATTACATATCCTACTTTTTCCAGTTCCTCATACTGTTTCACCCTATAATCATAATAAAAGATGGCAAACAAAAACAGTTGAATCTTAGAGAAGTGAAATTATCCCGATTTGGGAAATGTTGCTATTGTCATTTTTCTCCCTCACCAACTTATTGGGATATCCCCTTTGAGTGTTCCATTTTTAAGACTACTCTGATATCTCCTTTTTTCTTTGTAGGTTTACATCGATTTCATATAAGCCTGGGCAGTTGCAGCTTGTGTGGAAACCAGGCTATGCAGTGAAACCATCTGCTGGGCAGCCCAACTCTGTCAGGAGGTACTCTTCAGATGCTCCTGGATCTGACAATTGTCCAAATCCTTCAAAACTTGACTAAGATCAAAGATGTGGTTATATGTGTGTTTTAAGTAATATAACCAACCTTGCAAAGTCGATGGATTTTTTTTTAAAAAAAATCAGAATTCAAAAAATATTTTATCTTGAACTCTTGAAACACACAAATAGTAAAGGTCTTTTCTTTTTAAAAAAATGATCATTGAGTCAAACTGAAACCTATTTTTCAACCAAAAATTGCTTATACTATGCCTTTGTGTTAAAAAAAATTATCATCCCTGTATTCTCTTACCATCAATAGTTTAAATTTGTGCTTAACATTTGATCACTACTAAAAAGGAAACCAAATTAATAAAAGTAGATGCCTTTCTTGATTACCATGCCCTTTTAATCCAAAACAGCAAGGAAAAAATTGCAATTACGATGTTGCCCCTGAAAGTAAAAGTTGAGTAGTTCACTGTACCTGTTAGGGCTTAATTTGAGCCGGGCCTTCTTATGCTACATTCTAGCACCTGTTTCTCTAATGTTAAGACTCTGCTTAGGAACCGTTGCACTAGCGGGTTACTAGAAGTATCTTATAGAGGCTTTTCTCATCACTATATAACCCATCTCCTCTCTTTGACTATTTAAGAATTAGGAACTCGGATCAATTGATGTTACTTACTGTCTTTGTCAGTGACAAGATGTCAGATGGAGTCAGAAAAATTAACTCAAATGACTATTAAAGAGTAAACATTCCATTAACCTTTACATTGTAGATGTAGCTGGAAAGATGAACAGTTCCTCTACTGCTGCTAGGAAGTTTCTAGCTACATAGTCCATACGTGCAGTGAAAGATCACCGGGCTTTCTACTGGTCTTTAAAAAGACTACACTCATCTGCTAGGGTTTTGGCACCTGCTAATCTGGGAGCAATTTATTTGCCCTAAGCCAGTGATTAAACTTTCAAATATTTTTCAAATATTTTAAATCTTATTCCTAAACTGTGGTCAAACTGGTTAAACTTTTGTTTAGGAATTCTTACGTTCAGTCAAGTGTCATAGATTATATTTCTCACTTGACATTTGTCCATTCCTTCTTTTCTATTTCCATCGACATCTGCTCTGTGCGTACAATAATTTGCCTATTCTTCTAGTATTACAGTTGTATTAGTACTTTTCAATTTATTCATTCCATTTACCTTTACAAAAAAATAACTGGATTATTAGTAAAACATCTTTTTACAATAGATACCTATTGTACCCTGCATCGGTTTTATCTGACAATAAACAATTGCTTCCAGCAGCAGTTTTAATACTACATTTTTAAGTAGTCCATGTAATGCTTCTTTGCATGTCATATAATTGTGTGTATTTATATGACTTAGCAACTTGTCACAGTAGGTGTTACTAGCAAAATTTGTTGGTTACATTAAATATCTGTTACCAATGAAACTTGGTAAATGTTTTGTACACTTTGTGAGTATTTGTCTAATGTATTCTTTTCTTGCTAAATGAGAAAATAATTGCAAAATATGTTCACTTGGAATGTCATTATCCTCCACTCTGCTTCTGGCCTTTCCTCAGACTATTCTGTAGCAAGAATGGGTGTTAAAATTTTAGAGTTAAGTGAGTTTTTTCAAAAGTGTTTGAGGTACAATGAGGTCTCATTTGTTTGGGGGGAGTTCATAAAATTAGCATTCTGAGATACTTTATAAAATTCTTATGAACTCTTCTTTTCTTCAAAAGCCATTATAGAAACAAATGGGCTTTTTGATACTGTTGGTATAAGAACAACAGCATAAATAAAAGCCTATTAAATGAGAAATACTAGCTATGTATTATGGAGTTCTAGAAATAACAATGCATATCCTTCAACAGTTAGGCTTATTAGAATAGTGCAGAAAATTTCTCTTCTTCAAACAAAACTTTGGTCTCACAATCAGGCATCAGTGAAATCTGGGCCTGATTTGAGTTTATGTAGCATAGGCTATACGTTTTATGTTTGAGACTGTTTTTGGACCTCCCAAAGCCTAATATTCTTTCCAAAGTCTCAAATCGGTTACTCAAATTTTGAACAAAAATTACTTGGTCTCATTAAGTACTCAGCTATTCTTATGTTTCATCTTTCACCAATGTTATAAGCTATTCTTATGTTTCATCTTTCACCAATGTTATAAGTCATAGCTTTTAACAAATGTGAATTATATTTCTTGGTTCCATAGCTGGTATACTGTGGTCTTTTTTTCCTGGAATCTGAAGCAGTTAAGATGTATGCACCCTGCAATTTAAATATAAATGCTTGAAAATAGATATATTTAGTGGCAAAAATTGGTGCTTATTTGGGGGGGAAACTCAATTTCTTATCAGAAGATTAATGATCCAATTTTTGAGGTTACATAGGGAAATCCATGTAATATCTTAAATTGTTTTTAGATCAACATGATGCATACATTTTAAAACTGCATCCGCATAAAGGATTTTATGACTAAAACTGCTTGTTTTTCTACAGACTTGTTTGGTGTTTCTCAGCTTGAAGAAGATCTACGATCATTATTGATCCCTTTCTTGGCGTTAACATTATTGAAGTGACGTTTACCTAGCTTTCTAGAGTGAGCTTTCTTTTCAGACATCTCTAAAGTTTGATTCATAGTAAACAAGCTATAGATCAGCAATGTCCAAGTCATTCCACCAGGCATCTCTAAATAGGGATTCCCAAGGTCATGGACGTGACCTCTCTGCAGGAATAGGCCTTCTTGCTGCTGCTACCCAATCTTTAAATGTGCCAGCATCTCTTGGAAGGATGAACCAGGGTACTGCCCGCCTTGCTAGCTTAATGAATCTTGGAATGAGTTCTTCATTGAATCAACAAGGATCTCATAGTGCACTGTCTTCTGCTGGTGCATCTTCCCATGCCTTACAGTCTATATTTAACATTGGAAATAGAGGCCCACTCTCTCTGTCTTCTCAGCACCGTGGAGATGCAGAGCAGGCCACTAATATTCTGGCCAGCCTTGGTCTGTCTGCTAGAGACTTAGATGAACTGAGTCGTTATCCTGAGGACAAGATCACTCCTGAAAACTTGCCTCAAATACTTCTGCAACTTAAAAGAAGGAGAGCTGAAGAAGGTCCTTCACTGAGTTATGGTAGAGATGGCAGATCAGCTGCACGGGAGCCGCCATACAGAGTTCCTAGGGATGATTGGGAAGAGAAAAGGCATTTTAGAAGAGATAGCTTTGACGATGGTGGTTCTAGTCTCAACCGTGTGGTTGATTATGATCATGGAAGTCGTTCTCAAGAATCTGTTTATTATGACAGAATGGATTATGAAGATGACAGATTAAGAGATGGAGAAAGGTGTAGGGAGGACTCTTATTATGGCGAAACTTCGCATAAATATCGTAAATTTGACAGTGAGTATGACAGACTGAGTCGTGTCCCTGAGAGATCTCTCTTTGAGAAAAAAAGAGGTGCTCCACCAGATAGCAATATTGAAGACTTCCATGGACTCTTACCGAAGGGCTATCCCCATCTGTGCTCTATCTGTGATATGCCTGTTCATTCTAATAAGGTGAGTTCAGCATCAGATGCTTATTTTTCTTTACTTGTAGTCCCTATTGCTTGTTTCTTTGCCTCAATTTCTGTGTTCTAAATACTTATACAAAGGTCTCAAAAGAATTTTAAGTGACAAAGCCACTTAATTTCAGGGCATCATTAGCAAATCATGAAACCAGGACTTTTAATATATTGTTTCACCTATATTGCTTAAATCCAAGCCAGTTACCATCTAGTCTATATTTTGCATCTACATAATCTCTTTACTTGGTTTGGGGTAGTTTTTCATTTTGTTTTGCAGTTATTCAGAGCTAGATTCAACATTTCTTCCCATCTGTCTTGATTGCTAATTGGTTCTAGTTAAGATACCGTCCTTGCACATTCAGTTTTTTTCTTCTTGTCCATAGTCTGAGAAAATACTTTAATGGATGGTCCTGGAACAAATTTGTAGGGTAATAGCATTTTTAAATGAATTCATTCTTTTTAAAATTCACTTTAAAAACTATTTTCATGCTATGGCTGAAACTTCTCATTTTTTCCTTCCTTTTCACAACTTTCTTACATACTTTAGGGTCACTTTTTATTACACATATTGCATCTGTCCCTTTTTAGAAAAATAAACAGATTACTGCTGTTGTACAGTATATCATGTTCTCATTGGCAGTGTCTGTTTAGAATAGATCTTTTAAGAGTTTTGATCAAACATCGTTCTTATACTTAGAATGTAGGTCTGAAACCAAACAGCAAGTGTGGCTTATTCATATTTCCTAATTGTTTTACAAACTGGTCCTCTGTTAGTTTGGCAATGGGAAACTAAAGCTGAATATTATTACTGTTGTTACATTTTTTCTTTTCAAAGCATATTGTCAGAAATCCAGGTAAGAGTGCACTTTGTGTGCTTAAAATGATTTCCTTGGGTATTGCTAACACTTTCTTCACTGTTGTTCTTCCTCTTCAAAAAATACTTTGGTGTATGCAAAATCGTTTCCAGACGTGTGAAAAATGAAATATTGTTTGTTCATCTGAATTCTCTGCTTGATTCTTCTACCATCTGAAACTTTTTTTTCTTACCTTAATAAAATATCTTTGCGAACCTCTGTGATCATACAATGTTTTAGTCTTAGTAATATAGAGGGTTCGTTACCAACTTTAATTGTGCTTGTGCCATAGGTAGCTTTCTCTTCTGATGCAAACTGATCAGTTTAGACACATTTTGGCCCACAGTTCAAAGCCCATTTTACTTTGAAAAACACTGTTCTGTGCCAGGCAAGATCTCTAATCTCCACACTGCCTTGCAAGTTAATGCATTATTGGCTGTATCCCATGAAGCAGGATGTACATCATCCTAACCAAATGTGTATGCAGTATATTGTGATACACTTGGGATCTTACTCTTTTTTTATGCTTTACATAATGTTGCTTATCCCATAAGGAAATTCCATGATGGGTGTGTGTATGCATAAATACCTTTGAGGTCAATCTCAAATTTACCAGGTTTCTAAAAAGCAGTTACGTAAAACTCTAGTAATAAGACAGCTCATAATAATGGTGCTTATATAGTTGTCTCTTGCACTAAAATACTGTTGTATTGTTCTAAATAGAATCTCTTGCTTCTTTCAGTTTATCAAAATGTATAGTCACTTTACTTGGAATATTAAGTATGCTGACTTTTGATAAGTTCAGCATTTTCAACTATTAATTTTTGGCTGAACTTTAAAACTTTTTAGTTTTGATTAAAACGAACATCTTAATTGAAAGTTGTCATTATAGCTTGTAAGAAAAAAAGACCCAGCTGTAAACAGCTAAAAAAACTTCTATATATTCACGTGCAATTGAAAGAAAAAAAATCTAGTCTCCTTTTTTTCCCTTCCTTAAATGTTTCTAGTGCAGTTTCAGATTGAAACAAGCTGTGCAAGAAACAGAATAAATTATTGAAAGTATTATACCAAATCTATTATTTTGCTTCACTATGTTATTCACTGTAATTTGTACTTTTTTACTAATGTTTTTATTAAGAAAATATCAAAGACAGAGGATACATTCTCCCATTATCAAGGACAACCTTTCCTGACTGTTAATGAATTTCAAAACCAGTGGCCAGGGGGGTTAAAAATATATTTCCTTGTAACTTTAACCAGATAACCTTACTTCATGTTAGTTTAATTTAATGACAGTATTTTAAAATTGTATATTTACTGTTTTTGGATACCTCACAAGTATTTATAGACTAGCCATATCAATTTTACCTTCTGTTCTCATATTTTAAGGATTCTAGAAGTATAATACATTTGCCCTGTAAAAATATGATTAGAAACAAGGAACTGATTAATCTGTCCAGACGTTTAGAAGATTTGATTTTGGAAGCATCCCTCCTCTCTTGGCTCGTTGTATGTGATCCAAAAATAATAGAGCAGCCCAGCAAAGACTTTATTGAAAGATAAAATTTCTGATTCATAAGACTCCATTTTAACCATAGTAATATATTTTGACAATAAAAAGAAAACATTTGGTTGTAAAATTATTCGTTAAGTTTCACTTAATGTATTGAATGCTTTGAGTCAGTCAAGGTAAGTGTAATTCATAACAGTTATTTTAGAGCTATGAAAGAGACTTTAAAACTAATAAGGGAGAATATTTGTAGTTGAAATGAAGGATCCTTGGTGCTCCCTGAGCTTGGTTGTTTCCTTGCAGATATTTATAACAACAACAACAACAACAATAATAAAATAATAATAATAATAAAGTTGGAAGGTACCTTGGAGGTCATCTAGTCCAACCCCCTGCTCAGGCAGGAAACCCTACACCATTTCAGACAAATGGCTGTCCAGTCTCTTCTTGAAAACTTCCAGTGTTTGAGCATTCACCACTTCTGGAGGCAGGTTGCTCCACTGGTTAATTGTTCTAACTGTCAGGAAGTTTCTCCTTAGTGCTAGGTTGCTTCTCTCCTTGATTAGTTTCCATCCATTGCTTCTTGTCCTGCCTTCAAACTAGATAACATCTAGTGTTAGTGCTCAGAGAGCACCAAGGATCCCTAAGGCTTCAAAACTATTTGGGTTTACTTAATTTTATTTCTGGTTAGGAAAATAGGGTGAAAAAATCAATTATGTTCTTGCAAAATCACACACACAAAAATTATCTCTATATTTTTAGCAATATATAGCAAAAGTGATTTATAGGAATTGCACAATTGCATTAGAAAAACAATGAAAAAAGCAAGAAAGATCTCGTCAGTTCTTCATTTTGGGAGTGAAAATGTTCACTATGACTCGTGTGCTGGAACTGATACTGTTAGGAAGAGCACCCTATTTTAAAAAGTAAAGACACCCTTGAATCTAGCTTTACTTCTGACTACATGGATGCAGTCATGTAGCTTTCTTGGTAACAGTAGGGAAGAAGTTTGCCATTGGCGGCTTCTAACATGCTTTTCAAGTTCAGGATTTAGCCTGTAGATCTGATATGTCCTGTAGCCTTCTATTCAGTACTTAATCAAGCCTGATTCTGCTTGCTTTCCATTTACATGTGCATAAATAGAAGTGAAATAGGTCTTATTTTGTTTTATAGCAGTATATTAAAAATAATGCACATTTTAATCTATAATTGATTAAAACTGTGCTTAAATTAACCCCATTCGTAATAAGAAAAAGTAATTTCTGTATATACAATCCATATACAATAGGTTCTCCTTTTTATATTTATATAAAATTCTGTATTAAGTGGTACAAATGGGCAGAGAATCATTCTTTTTGAAATTCATCCTGGTCGGTTTACCTCTGAGATATCAGTTACCATTGTTTGCACAATTGCAAGCCTGTTCTTGTCATTTGGCTAAAACAATTCTTAAATTAAAATGAGGTTGAGATTATCTGGATTATAATTCTGCAGTTGGGCCCAGTTCTGTGCTTGTGGAAGCACTTATTAATTTACTTTAAAACAGCAGTTTGTAATTGCGAAGGCAACATTGAAAACTAGTTATTCTGTGAAGGTAAGGTGAAATGGGACTATTTGGTTTTATTTTTTTCTTTTATGCTGACATTAATTTTTTGAGCCAGTAATATGAAGAAAAAATTGTAAAGTGAATTGATTTTATGTAGGTGTTAAAACAAATGTAAAAAACAGGCTAGAGCTAATTGCAGATAATAGCTAGTGTTTAATATTCTTAATATTAAAACCAATAATTGAGCTTTAGGGATGTAAGTGTACAATCTTTGTCCTATCCTGGGTCCCTTGGCTGGGACAATCTGCCATTATCATGAAGGGTTGACTTTTAGTTGACTGCTGCTTTTGGTAAATACAGATTTTAAAAGCAGCATGAAACAGAACCTGTTTTCTCCTTTTTCTCCATTATCTTGAGGTGAAATTGTTGTTCTGTTTGGTTGAAGGACAGGTTGCTGGATGTGATTAGTAGAGCTGTACATATAATGTACATTTAGAATTTTGTTTAGTTTTTTTCCTTCCATTATACAAAACCTAGAATATTAAACTTACAAGCAATGATTTACTGCTGATGGAAAACATTTTTCTAGTGCAGTAAGAAAACATTTACCAGTATTTCTAGCTACTGTATTGCCCTGAACTCCCCATCAAGCTGCTCTTGAGAAATATTCTCACAGCCAAGATAAGATATTACATGGCAAGCTGCACTTGTGCAGAACTAATAATGCTTGGTTGTTGTATTTTATATATGCAGAAGTATTTTGCACTAGGCGTAGTTGTATATCTTGAAATAATTTGAAATTGGAATATAAACAATGCATGCTTCATGTCTTGGAAACACGTGAACTTAAATTGTTTCATGATAAATTACTGTGCAGTACACGAAACTCAAAATAGATTCTTGTTTGGATGTCAGTTTCTGTAACCTTTTTAATGATAGCACAAGTCTTAAGGCAAAACCTTCTGTACGTGTTGACATAATGTTCTAAAAATTGTGTTTCTGATCATTCTAACTTTGTACTTCTGCAGGAGTGGAATCAACATATCAATGGAGCAAGTCACAGTCGACGTTGTCAACTTCTCCTTGAAATGTACGGATTTGAACATATATTTTTCTTTATAATTGTACTATTTTGCTTGAAAAGGAACCATTTATTCTAAAACTTAATATAATTTTCTTGGATTGTATAATAATTGTATAATTGATTGCTTGTATACAGATTTGAAAGCTGCTACTTTTTTTAATTTAATGGGCCCTTTTTGGCCACATATTTTTGATACGTTTTATTGGGGGGCAAATTTGTAGATTACTTGTCTACACAGAATTTGTTTGATCCTGAACCTGCTGCAAATCTGCTAAATTGCATGATTGCAGTATTATGACTTCTATTTCCATCTCAGTCTCCACTGATAAAATAAATCTTCATATTTTGTTTCAGCCGAAAAATCTGCTGTTGACCTAAATAATAAACCTTGCTATTATGACTCTATAAATTAAAATGTATGGAAGCTTCCAATATGTATGTAGTAGAACAGTGATGGCGAACCTATGGCACAGGTGCCAGACGTGGCACTCAGAGCCTTCTCTGTGGGCACGCGCGCCGTCGTCCCAGTCCTAGGCCTTCAGCTGGGTTTTATAAAACCTTTTCGCTTTAGCCCTCCGCCGCCGTGTGCAAAAAAAGGTTCAATCAATCAATCAATTTCAACTTCTCGCGGAAAAAAAAAGATCTTGCAAAGTTGGAATTGATTGATTGAACTTTTTAGTCCCACCCAGTCTGCCGTTACCACCGCAGCCATGCCCACCCAATGGGCCCGCCCACCCCATTGGCCACACCCACCCGGCACTCGATGATGCATAAGTGGGTTTTGGGTTGCAGTTTGGGCACTCAGTCTCTAAAAGGTTCACCATCACTGTAGTAGAATCTGTAATTTAATGTAATATTTATAAATGCCTTTAGAAAAGATGCATTGCATTGTTTAGATATACTTTGATGTAATTCAAAACCAGTATTTTTAAATTACTGAGAATATTGGTGTTGACTCTGAAATTGTAATGATCAATTTACGCTTATTTATACATTTAAAAACTTTGGGCTAAGATCCAAAATACAACGCATGGTATTTCTAGCCCCAACAGTTACATTCCAGAGAGTGATTTGTCTGACTTCTTTTTTTTAAAGATACCCTGAATGGAACCCTGATAACGACACTGCACATGGATTGTAAGTAAAGCTTACTTTCTCCCATTTTAAAAAAAATGGCACAAGAGAAATCAAAGGGGGGAAATGATATTTCCAAATTATCAGTTGCATGATAGTTTTACTTTGGAATTAGAAAAGTAATTTTCTATTGTACTGCTTAGTTATTTCAATAATCACAAAATAGGAATAATGTAGGAAAAAAGGCTTTTCTTCTTACCCAATTTGCTAATTAGTTTAGAGTTTTTAGCTTTAAAATAATAAAAGAGTAAGATGTACGGAATCCTGGAATCGGGATATAGTTATATATCATTCCTGATTCTAATCTTCCTTTCCCTGGAAAATACTCTCTCAGATCAAGTCCATGTCCTTCTATCCTACTTATTTCTTTGTTTCAGTTGAAATCTTTTAATATTTCATGTTTCCTTATGTCAGAACATGCTCACTGTCCATTTTTTTTTGTTTATTGGGACATATACATACAATAAACACATAGATAAAACTCATTTCTCCCAGTGTTTAAAAGTCTCATTAGATACTGAGTGATTTAAATAGAGTTGTTTATATTTTGCATTAAAAATTAATATTTTTCTAATGTGCACCTTCTTGAAATTTCTCTGATTAAGTTTGTCCAGTGTCACAATCAGTGAGACTGTAAAATATGATGTTTTCATACAACTGAAAGTGTGAAAGTAGTATAATTTAGAATCCTACATTGACAAGCTGTTTGAATTTTGAGTCTATTTCTTACATTTCTAATTACAGGGATATATTGGAAGTATCTTTCTGAGGTTCAAAAAGAAATGTTTCACAGCATTATCTGACATCTGTGTTGCTACTATTCAGTCATATTGATAAATATTACCTGCAGATATCAAACCATGGAAATAAATTGTTATTGATGCGTTACTGTTTATTTTCATATATCTGATTTCTTACAACTTACATGCACAAAGCTGAATGGGAGGTTGTGAAAGATTATATTTTCCAAAACAAAAGATCTCTGCGTTCGTGTGTGTCTTTTAGGGGTGATCCATTTATGTTGCAATCAACAAATCCAGCCCCAGGAATTTTGGGGCCACCTCCACCCCCATTTCATCTGGGAGGACCACCTGTTGGGTCAAGAGGTAATAAAATTAAATTAATTTCTGATAGGACTATATATCAGGATGTAATGCAGTATGGAGTCAAATCATCCATAGTAGAACTTTTTAAATCAAAGTATGCATCTTGATAACATTGTTATCTGACATTTACAGTAGTACTATTTGATCATATTAGATAAATAGTATCTGGAATTGAGGTGTGATTGAATGGATATTACTTTGAGTTATATTTCTTTGATATGCTAAAATTTCAGATATATTCTAAGTCAAACTGTTTAAGGTTCTGCATTATCATATGCCACAAAGTCAGTATTCTTTCTAATGAACTATTATTTTTTCCCCTTACACTGTATTGATAGCTGGGAATGGAAACATGCAAGGACCTAGACATATGCAGAAAGGCAGAGTGGTTAGTATTCAATTCTCTGTAAAATTAATGTACGTTTACATTTAAAATTTGTACTCAACAATTGGTTTTACTTGAAATGAGTATCTGCTTTTAATGAAAGAGGTTGTCCATTATCTGGATTATATATACCTTTTCAAACCATATGTTTACAAGTTTAAGTTATCACATAAAACTACAGATAGTCCTCAAGCTACAACTACAATCGAGACCAGTACTTCAATCACTAAATGATGCAGTTGTTAAAGGAGTCATCACATGACTGGATCCAATTTTGTAATCATTTTTACTGCAGTCATTAAGCAAATCACATTAAGTAAATCTATCTTCTATTGATTTTGCTTGTTGGAAGACAGCTGATAAGATCACAATTGCATGCCCGCAGCATTCTGCAGCTGTGATAAGTGTGAGCTGATTGCCAAGCACCTAAATTGTGATCACATCGCTACAGGGACACTTGTGGTCATAAGTACAAGAACCAGTCATAGCTGCAAATCATTACTAATGGATGTAAAGTCAAGGACTATCAATACTCTGTTCGATGGAAGGCTGTTGATCATGGGAAACTCCAGCCTAATTTGCTAGATAACAAACAGACTGTCCTAGCTGCATGTATCTGTTCATGAGCAAGGTGAATTGATACCCTCAGGTCTCTCTTTAAGATACTGCATCCATATACTTACTAATAAGTGCATTTGCAAAGCTGGTTTATGAGGATATATTTGCAAACTGAGTAACTCTTGTGAATGGTGTACATTTCAATTTAAGGCAGGATATAATTGTGCATTTTTGTTCCATTGTTTTTATTGACTTGCTTGTTACGAATTTGCTTAAAATTTGCTTCTGAACTAAGAAAGTTCATTTCTATGTTCATTTTACTGAATGTATCGGTTATTACTGCTGGCAATTAACAGGAGACAAGTAGAGTCGTGCATATCATGGACTTTCAGAGAGGGAAAAACCTGAGATATCAGCTACTACAGCTTGTTAAACCTTTTGGAATCATCACAAATCATCTCATACTGAACAAAATTAATGAGGTAAGTATTAGTCATTTTATATGATAGAATATTTTTAATACAATATAAACATCAATCCTCTATTGGCAGTCAATTTCTTAAGCAGTATATAAGTTAATTGAAGTACAGGATTTGACAGGAACAAATGTAACTAAGAGAAGGAAGCATATCTTGAAAAAGAAATCTGAAGAATGCCAGATATCATTATTTTAAAAACAATGTTTACATACTTGAAAGAAAAAGATTTCTCTCCAAGATTAAGACGTTTAATGTATATTTGTAGCAGCAAAATAACAATATTAATACAATTCCTTTCTTGTTTTTTATTCTTGTTCATCTTTTTTGGAAAAAAAAGTTATTTTTGTTTTATTTTAGGCATTTATTGAAATGGCTACCACTGAAGATGCACAAGCTGCAGTGGAATATTATTCAACAGCACCAGCCCTGGTTTTTGGCAAACCTGTAAGAGTCCACTTATCACAAAAATATAAAAGAATAAAGGTAAACCACGATTTCACATTTCTTTTCTAATGTTTAATCTTTTTATTGTATGATCTCTCTTATACTAAAAACTTAATATAATGTATTGATGTTCTTAACTCTTCAGGAACCAGAAGCAAAACCTGATCAGAAATTTGAGCCTGCAAAGCAACAGCTTGGTCGTGTGATCCATCTTAGTAATTTGCCACATTCGGGCTATTCTGACAATGCTGTACTTAAATTAGCCGAGCCCTATGGAAAAATAAAGAATTATATATTGATGAGAATGAAGAGTCAGGTAATTCTTGTAGTAACATAAGAAAGAGTTTAGTTATTTAAGTAGAAATGTAGAATAAAAAAAATTCTTGTATTTAGTGACTGAGCACCTTTTGCCATCTTTTTGTTGTGGTAATTTAGGAAAACAGTTTTTAGCAGCTTTTCATCCTTAACATGCTTCATGTGCATATGAAAATTTAACCTGTCCACCAGAATTAATTATGTATCTGTTTTATCTTTGCTACAAGATCTTATATTTGATTTATGATTTAAAAAAAAATCACCTAGCTTTGTCTCCTCATAAAATCGGTCATTAAAAAAATGTAAATTGAAATCTTGCATAATTTTTCTATAGGCTTTTATAGAAATGGAGACCAGAGAAGATGCTGTGGCTATGATGGAACACTGCTCCAACAAAGCCCTTTGGTTCCAGGGCAGATGTGTGAAAGTCGATTTATCTGAAAAATACAAGAGATTAATATTACGAGTAAGTACTTGAGTTAGCGTAAGTTTGGGATCTTGAGTTCAGTAAATAATACGAAGAGTTTCATGTGCATAGCTGTTTAATGTGCATAGTGAAAGAGGAATACGACTGGTTATCATTAATATTTGAATTTGAATGCGAGACTTGTGTTGAGTTTTGGAAACACAACATGAGAGCAGAAATTTTCCTCCCCATTCCAGTCTCTAAATCTTGACAAGAGGCTAATAATCCCTGTCATCCTTCCAGAGGAAAAGCCTATGTTAGTAGCTTGCAGATCCTCATTAAGTTGCTGTAAGAACTGTAACAAGATTAATTCGGAACTGCTGGTGATATATATTGAAATATCTGGCATTTCTGTATACCACAGAGCATATTTGTACCACGTCTTAATTTGAAATATTGTTTCAGATTCCTAACAAAGGAATGGATTTGTTGAAGAAAGATAAACCAAGGTAAAATCCTTCCGTTAATTGATTTGCTTAAAAATACAAAATGTCCTTGAAAATACATGTTCTAATGTCATAGATAATACACGTTCTTTTCCTTAACAATATAGAAAAAGAGGAATCTCTCCAGATAGCAAAGACTCTGGAAGTGAAAAGAAATGTAAGACTGATGATAGCGAGAAAGGTGAAAGCAACAGTACTGAAGGCAAAGACGAGGAGAGAGACGAATCAGAGAGGTTAGATGCAAAAGAAGGTGGACAAGGAGATCAAGAAGAATCCAATTTACTCCTTGAATCGGAAGATGAATTGCTGGTGGATGATGAGGAAGCAACAGCATTACTGGAGAGTGGCAGCTCAGCAGCAGATGAGACCGATGTTGCTAACTTGGCTGATACAACTGCTGAAGAAAAGGAGGCAGCCGAAGATGCTGATGCTGCCGCCAAACCTGAAGAGAATACCGCGGCTACTTCAACTGCGAAAAAACTCAAAAAGGTAACACTGCTAAAAAAAGATGTGTGCTTTAACCAAGAATAGTTTTTTTTAATGTGTTTTTTGCATGTTAGAATGTTTAAATCAGTTTGGGAAAGAAGTTTTTTGAATTGTATGTGTACAAACAATTTGCTTCCTTGGCAGTTGACTGTATAATCTGCATTGATGTCCTCTTTTGTAGGTTGCCGTTATTGCATGACAGAATGCACTTTAAGTAGCAATAAAGGAGAATATTTGTAGCTTAGGGTTGACAGTAGGGATCCTTGGTGCTCTCTGAGCTTGCTTGTTTTCTTGCAGACATTTCATTACCCAAACTAGGTAACATCATCAGTGCTAGTAAGGAGTCTGGTTTGCTGTCAGTTTATATTCTAGTGCAGGGGTTCCCAACTCAGGCTGCGAGACGATATTCCAGGGAATGCGAAAACTTGGGTTTTCAAAATTATAGTGTATATGCATAATTTGTTGCTGTTATTTCGAACTTTTGTAAGGGGTGCGAGAATATATCAGAAGTGTTCTAGGGATACAGGGTACAGAAAAGGTTGGCAGCAGTGGTGGGATTCATCCGGTTCGCACCACTTCATCAGAACCGGCAGCTAATTTTTTATGGCCCAGGCCCAGAATGGACTTCCGAAAGCGGCATCCACACAGAGAACCGGTTGTTCACATATTTGAAACCCACCACTGGTTGAGAGCTGCTGTTCTAGTGGCTTACCCTGAACTTTAACTAGTTCAGTAAACATAGTACATGAAGAATTTGAGTATCCTACCTACTTATGTTATTCTAGCAGATAAGCAGCATCTGAAACGGGCAAACCGATAATATTTTTGCAAAAAGGTTGTTTTTGGAATTGAGCTAAAGCAAAAAAAAACTTTTTGAGACAATTATAAACCTTGAATGCTTTCTATATGAGAGTAAAACATTTTAAAAATTAAAATTTCACGTCAAGAAAGGATTGACGCAAAAATATTTACTCTTCTGGCCTGCGCGTGTTACCAGTTTCTTTCTGGGTACAATTTAAAATCCTTGTGTTGGCCGATAAATTTAAAATCCTCGTATTGCCATCTTCAGCTGCCTCCTTTATGGTTTGGTGCCTAAATATTTTAAGAACCATCTACTTCAACCAGTGTAAGTGACTGATTAGAAAAAACTACTTAAAATTGCACTTTCTGAAAGAATTTTGGAGGAAGGCCAATGAAATGAGAAGGTAGCAGCTGTCTATGGAAGTCCTAGTATTATGGATACAGATCAGGCTGTTTCCCTCATTGATGGTTTTTCAGAAAATAATTAAAAACTAAATTGTTCAAAGGACCTTACATGTGATGCTGTTTTGTTTTCTTGTTACTTTTTGTGGGGGGGGTTGCAAATGATATTGTGATTCACATTGGTTTTAAAAGGATTAGTGTTATATTTGTTAGATGTAATTGTACCATCGAACTTAGATATAAGAATTTTTCAATGTGTAATTGAGAACTCGTGAAAAGCCATATATAATAATGTATTAAAATACATTGTTTCAACAGCGACATGTAGGTAATTTTCCAAGAAGTATGAAAGGCTTTGTCACTCTTGATGAAGTCGGTGATGAGGAAGATGCAGAACACCAGAAACAGTACAAAGCCGGCCTAATGAAAGTGGTTGTAAAAACTGAGGACGATTCAGCTGAAACAAAAACAGAAGAAATGGAACAGGAAGATGAGACATTTGAAAATGGCACTAAAACAGAGAACTTAAAGTTGGAATCATCTGAGGGGGCATCCAGCACAATGACAGATGAAAAAGATAACACTACCATGCAAGAAAGTAAAACTATTCATGATGAATATAGAATTGGGCCATATCAGCCAAATATTCCAGTTGGTAAGAATGGTTTCCTTTGGGATAATATATATACTACATATGTATATCTACAAACAAAAATGCTGGATACTTTAAAAAAGCCAATAGATGCTTGACTATCAATCCTGTAATGTATGTAAATAATTTTGAGACCTTTTAAATGTCTGATAGAATGGCTCACCCTAAATAAAAATATTTAGATCTTTAGATTTAGCTTTTAAAAGGTCATTGATTTACATTCAGAATCTAACTTACTCTGTTCAGTAAAAATGAATTAGAGCAATTGTCTCCTTCCAGCCCTATGATTCTGTGATCTTGACAATATTCCAAATAGTCTATGTCAAATTTGCAACTTTCTTTTTATGCTCTATATCTAGGTGTGAACTATGTTGTCCCCAGAACTGGATTTTACTGCAAATTGTGTTCCTTGTTCTATACTAACGAAGATTCTGCGAAAAAAGTTCACTGCAGCAGCCTTGCACATTATCAGAAATTGAAGGTAAGGCAAAATTTATCAAGGTGCCCTTTTGTGTTTCATGCACTTTCTGAATTTTTTTTTTTAATAGATAGCATCTAAGAATGTAGAAAAATTACTGTTCTAGGAATGAGAAATCTGGACAATTCTTCTGGAAAACTGCTAGAACACTCACTGGGATGGCAAAGCAGTATGATCTAAAAGAGGAACAATACATTTCACACGTACCTACATGTTTAAAAGAAAAGGCCAAATGAGAGATTTGATGCCACTATGTTTGATTTGTATTGCATTTAGTGAAAGTCTCTGCCAAAAGGATAGAATTGTTTACAACAGTCTAAATTGAAATAAATCACAGCGTTAAACCTTGACCATGTCAAGTATTTATGTATATATGAGTTACATCCGGTATAATTTTGCTGAATTAGGCATTACAGTTAAATATGCCTTGTTACTTACTTAACAAGTTTTGATTCAAGTCTCTTCTGTGTTACAGAAACATATGGAGAAAATGGCTGAAGATCTGAAACCAAAAAAAGAGGCTTAAATGAAAGGGGAAAGGCATGCCAATTTAAGGAAAAATGTTTTATTTTTGTTGCTAATCTCAATACAGTAAAATTGGGAATGCTATACTGCATAGATCTTAGTGAAATAGAAGTTTAATTCTGTAATGTGTTTAATGTTATGGCAAAATATACACTGTCAGATCTTTGTTCAAAAATGGGATGACATTCGGCATTTCTGTGCAGATTTAATCTTGAGGTACTGACAGCTGTTTTAGCATTTGAAGACCACAGAAAATGTCATCCCCATTAATCTTTTCAAAATTTACATTCAGTTAAATATAAACAGTTACTATTTTTACCCGCAACATTCCACATTCTAATATAAGTCCGACTGATATTATTGTTCAAGGGACTTGCATTATTTCATTTCACTTTTGAGAGTGTTTATCAAAATCTGTGTGGTTTTCTTTTTTAAAAAAAAAAAGTGGAAATGCTTTTTGTTGGTATATTAGGTAGTGAATAGGAAAAGTGATAGCCAGCTTTAATAAATCTTGTGTTTTCTCTGAGTCCTTGTTTTTCTGTCCTATTTTAATAGGAACCCAACTCTTGCTCTTCCGACCAGTATTATTTTTCCTGGGCTCTTGCTTGCAATTGAATTTAGTACTTTTTCATACATCTCCAGTATAAGCAAAAGCAACATTTGAACCATACATTGTAAATAGTTTTCTTTTTTATGTTTGTACTTCAGCTCTAATCCTAGACCAATTACTAACATACAATTGGACTTGCTTCAAAGTATCCTGCCTAGAATTGGAGCATACATCTTGAGATTGGTTTCATCCTAGGACTGTGCTTTTGATGTACCTTCACATAGCTAATATGAGTAGCGGTTTGTGCGTAAAATCTGTTTTATATTGTTATTAACAGCTTACATATATGTGAATTCAAGTTATTATAGTGTCAAACCAATAAACCAAACCAATCGAGTAAACTAAGCCTCGCTTCTGTTTACAAACAATTTTGTGCACTCATTGACTAGATTGTGAAACAATAAGAGTTTCCACACAAAAAAAATGACATTAATGTAATTTGCAGCAAACATGAAGAACCAGTGGTCTTTCGGAATTGCTGCTTCCAATATTACCATTGCTCATACATGGAGGGGTTTCTGGGCCTTGAAAATTTTGATATTATAGTTAAATGTTGCATGGGTAGTCCTGGTAATTGGGATCAAAATGTCTTGTCGCTAAGCAATGCAGTTGCTGTAAAACGCAGCATCACATGGCCACATTGCTTAGCTGTGTCAATCCTGGCAGTCCCTGATGTGATCATTAAGTGAAAAATCGTGGGTAATTAAGTAAGTCACCTTTTGTGACTTTCTGCCAGCTTCCAACAAGCAGAGTCAGTGGTGAAGCCAGTAGCAATTTGTGAGTCCTAGGCAGCTCACAAGCAGGCTGGCAGCTGGGTAAATGGCTGCCATGGCCTGGTGTGAGCGTAGCTCCACCTTCTGTTGCCCCTGCTGCCTCAAATATCTCTTTTACCATCTGATGATGATGGGGCAGCCCCAGCTCCATAGTGCAAAGCTGCAGCCACCTCAGCCTAGGCTAGCACTAGACTAGAGTACGAAGCTGCAGCTGTCCCAATTCTGTGCTTCACTGTCCCCCAACTGTCTTTCACTTTCTTGCTCCCGCTGCTGACAAGACGCACCTGGCCTGGCCCTTTGTGACATAGCCCAATGTTTCACGAGGAAGCCTGGTAAGGTTTCAAGAAGGCTTCACGCAACCTCAGGAAGACGGCCTTGTGTGCTCAGCAGCGGCCTCATGATGGGCCGTGGGGGGCATCCCTTGTCAGCAGGCGCAAGAGGACGGTGAAGATCAGTTGGGTGTGTGGAATGCAGGGCAGCAGTAGATATTTAATGCAGAGCGCCAAAAGGGCAGAGAAATGGAGGGGGGAAAGCTAGGTGGGGATTGTTGAAGCACCCCCCCCTAAAAGCAGCTGAGTTGCCAAGCACCCAAATTTTGATGGCATGCCCACGGGCACTCCAGCGGCCATGGCAATGCTGTCACTGAATGAGTTAAGCAAAGACCACTTGTAAGGCCACTGCTTTCTTATCCTTGGTATAAATCGTTATTGAATGAACATTGTGTGCTATAGGTCAGGAGTTCATTATTTAGTCTAGCCTAAGAAATCCAGTTAAGTCCCAAATGATTTGGAGATCCCTGTTGAGGATTTTCTTTAATTATTGGAGGGAAAAATTGCTGTAGTCATGTACTTTTGAATAATCAGTTGGATTCTTTGTAGGGTCAACTGTAAAACCAGTAATACAAGCCATTACCCATAAATTTATTTAATATTAATGTGTGCACTTCTGAAACCGTTATAAACGTCTATTAACATATAGAATCACTATGCAGAAGAACAGGATATAGATATGGAGGGCAGTGTTAAAGAAAAACATTTTAGAAATGCTGGAGCTACTAAGGACTAAAAAGGTTAAAATATTTGTTAATTTTATTGGTTTTTAATAAACAGTAAAAAAAACAAACCACCCTCTTTAAATATTACAAATACAGATAGTCCTCGACCTATGACCACAATGGAGTCCAAAATGTCTGTTGCTGCGTGAAACAGTTAAGTGAGCTTTGCTCCATAGTTGTTAAGTGAATCACTGCAGCTGTTAGTAACATGGTTGATAAGTTAATCTGGCTTCCCCATTGATTTTGCTTCTCAGAAGGTGGCAAAAGGTGATCACATAACCCTGGGACATGTCATAAATATGAGTCAGTGGCCAAGCATCCGAATTTTGATCACGTGATCATGAGGATGCTGCTACGGTCATAACTGTAAAAAACAGTCATAAGTCACTTTTTAAAGTGCTGTTCTAACTTCAAACAGTCACTAAACAGTTTTGACTCAACTGCCTGTAAATTATTCTCCCCTGTAGCCTAACATTTTTCTATATGCAATCCAAAAATCATTTTCTTTTCAATCATAGTTCAGGAAAAAGTCTATTAGAGGTTACAAGTAATAACAAATAGTTCAATCATATTCCATCTTTTTGCTCTGCACAATCTTGACCTCTAAATCATTTCTATGGCATCCCAGGGTTTGTTATATCATCATTCTTTGGCATTCAACAGACATCTTCAAAGCTTTTACCAACCTACTTTTGTAAATCCAATAAACAGCATCATCCAGGATATTATGTCACAGCTGTTCCATGTCCAGATCCTTTATTTATCTTTTTGTATTCCCATTTTGGTAATCTCAATTATGTTTTTTTCCATGCCTTCAAATTCTAATATCTATGTCAGGTAAAAGTTTTTTAAAAATCATCTAAAAGTTATCCATTTGAAATCTATAAACCTTTCTGAGATATTAGTTAATGTTTTTTAAAAAAAAACAACTTGTAAGATTAAAAAAAAGTTACAGCAGGTTAGCATTTTATTGCTTCTCTGCCTGGTCCTTTAATTCCTTTTAGTATCCATTTATAATTAGCAAGCCTTGGTCCCTAATATGGTTTTAGTTCCGTTTCAGTTGCTTCCCATGAGTAATTACGTACCGTATTTATTCGAGTATAACGCGCAAAATTTTGTACCAAAAAAAGGAATCAAAATTTGGGTGCGCGTTATAAACGAGGTATCACTCTCCGTCTGTCGGCGTCCCTGTTGCAGCCTCGTTCTGTGTCCTCCCGGCCTTGCCGGTTGTGCAGGCAGCAGTCTTTGCTGGCCCCTCCCCCGACATCCGCGGTCCTCCCTGGCCCTCCGCGGCTTCCGTTCGCTGGCTTCTGGGCTCCCGGCGGGTTCGCGGTGAATGGCGGGCCTCTGCATGCTCCTCGCCCTCGCGCTGGGCAACGCTGCCTGAGGTCTCTGCGGCTCGAGCGAGGTAGGCAGCGGCGCGGAGAAGCGAGGGGAGGGGGGTGGGCCGTACCTGCTAGCTGGAACGATGCCGGCAGAGAGCCGGGCGGCTGCGGCGGCGTTCTGCTGCTGGGCGGCTGCGGCGGTGCTCGGCTGCTGCGGGCGTTGCGGTTCTCCCCCCCCTGTGAATAGCAAGCCCCGTGGGGCTTGACACGAGGGCTGGGGTGGGGTGACGCAGTGGCGGCCGGTCCATTGAGGGCGCAGGCGAATTGTGAGTTCGCACTGTGCCTTTTCCGGGCTTCAGCCGCTCACGCGAGGGCGAAGAAAAAAAAACGTGCCCTCGTCGCGTACAGGGGGCGGCCC